AAATGAATTCCTGAGAGCCCACCATATACTATACTGCCCAAATTATAAAAATATTTAAGAAGAGAATAGAATACTAAATTCTTCTTTTAGGGAGGGGGGAGGAGACTTTCAAAAGGGAAGATAATAAGAACAACTTGATAGGCAAACAGTATTTTAAAAAACTGTATGTTTCTCTATTGATATCAAATATAGATCAAATAGCAATATCAAATTGAAATCAAATATAAACATTCAGAACTTTCCGGAGTACCTACTATTACACCAGTAGTTTTAACTATGTTATTTTATTTAATTCTCACAAAAATCTGAAAGAGCTATCATTACTCCATTTTACATGTGAGGAAACTAAAGAACAAAATGTTTACATAACTTACCCAAGACCACAGTTAGGAAAAAATGGAAAAAGGACAAAACTCTCAAATGTGCCAAACTACACAGCCTAAATTTAAACTTGCATAATTGTAAAGTCTACACCTGAATTGTTACTGGAAATAGATTGAATGATCAAGTCATGAGATAAAAAAAAGCCCCTACTAAAAGAAAAACTGAAACCAGAATGCAGCATTAATAAAAAAAGATTACCCTTGATAGATGAACCACATTTAATTTTCCATGCAATTAGCATTATTCTCCACTTATGAAATCTTCAAATTTCTCACATTCCACACCCACAAACAAAATCTGAAGTTTTAAAGGCATTGTTCTCTTCTAATTTCTTCAAAATTTGGTTTTGAACAGTTGTCTAATAAAATAAATATATTATCTAATAAATATACTATCTTAGAATTGGCACTTAGGTTAAAAAGTTAAGCATTCTCAAAACAAAACATTGTTCACTTTGGATAACTGTGTTAATATTATAGAAAATCCATAGTAAATATATTTTTTTAAACATAGAAGGAATGTTGGTAACTTCTGAGATTATTCCCAAGGTTGACTTACTATATGAGAACAAAGTAGAAAGACAGAGAAAGAACTTTTATTGCTCATTATGGAACACTTAATGAAAGCTACATCTCACATCATATCAATAATGGGAAATAAGATTTAATTTATTAAAACTAGCTCATATAAACTTTTCAGGGACACATCCAGGCCATAAAACAAACCTGCTCGTAACATAATACAGAATGCCTTTGAATATATCATGCTATTATATACTTCAAAAAACCAGTCAGTTAAGTGTCCAACCCTTGGTTTCAGTTAAATGTCCAACACTTGGTTTCAATTCAGGTCATGGTCTCAGGGTTGTGAGACTGAGCCCCGCATCAGGCTCTGTGCTGAGCACAGAGTCTGCTTAAGACTCTCTTTCCCTGTGCTCCTCCCCGCTACATACTCTTTCTCCCTCTAAAACAAACATTTTAAAAAAACACAAAAAAACCCCAAGACAATAAGGGCCCAAATGACCAAAAATTTAGTTACTTTTTAAAATTTTTTTTAAGATTTATTTATTTATTTATGATAGACACACAGAGAGAAAGAGAGAGAGGCAGAGACACAGGAGGAGGGAGAAGCAGGCTCCATGCCAGGAGCCCGACGTGGAACTCGATCCCATGACTCCAGGATCATGCCCTGGGCCATAGGCAGGCGCTAAACCGCTTGGCCACCCAGGGATCCCCAATTACTTCTTTTAATAGGAAGAGAAATTCAGAAAGAACCACAGAGATCTACTACCTAGTTCAGGGATCTGCCCCCAGCATCCCCTAAACTATTTCATATTACTGGTTATCTCAACAAAGCTCAAAACTAGAACAAAGAGGATTACAATACTCTCTCTGAAAAATGTTCTAAGAAACAAACAATGCTTTCTTAAAAGTCTATGCTTTCTTGCTTTCTTCAGTCAACTGGTAACTTTGACATCAAAGAGATCTGGATTCTAATCCAGAGTCATGAAATCTTACTTTTCCTAAATAGAAATAATATTTGTAACTCCTGGATCAAAAGTTAAAGCTTATATATATATTTTTTTTAATTTTCTTTTTTTTAAATTTTTATTTATTTATGATAGTCAGAGAGAGAGAGAGAGAGAGAGAGAGAGAGAGAGAGAGGCGCAGAGACACAGGCAGAGGGAGAAGCAGGCTCCATGCACCGGGAGCCCGATGTGGGACTCGATCCTGGGTCTCCAGGATCGCGCCCAGGGCCAAAGGCAGGCGCCAAACCGCTGCGCCACCCAGGGATCCCAAAAGTTAAAGTTTGTAAAGATAATATATACAAATATACACAAAGCATTAGGTATGGGACTTGGTGCACAGTGCTCAATAAATAGCTGATAGTATTATTTTATTTTAACTCAATTTTTTCTTTTCTTTTTTTTATGTATGACGTTTTTATTTTAATTATGGTACAGTTAACATAAGGTATTATACCAATTTCAGGTGCACAATACAGAGATTCAACAATTCCTTACATCTCAATATTTTATCTCAATTTTTAACTATGATTTCATTTAGAGAAATGTCTATTCAAAATAATGTAACTCAACTAAATAGATTTTTATTATCAGTTTCAATTGTATGTTTTAAATTTTTTTTTAATTTTTATTTATTTATGATAGTCACACACAGAGAGAGAGAGAGAGGCAGAGACACAGGCAGAGGGAGAAGCAGGTTCCATGCACCGGAAGCCCGACGTGGGATTCGATCCCGGGTCTCCAGGATCGCGCCCTGGGCCAAAGGCAGGCGCTAAACCGCTGCGCCACCCAGGGATCCCCCAATTGTATGTTTTAAAAATACTGTCATTTATAGGACATCAGACCTTAAAGGGAAATGAGCTGACTTCCAATTAAGATCATCTTAGATCTTAGGTGTTGAGAAAAACTAGGAAAAAAGGAGACTGTGAATATTTCAAATCTCTATTTAAAATTTTCTATTGATTTCACTCCTTAGAGACATTTCTTTGGTTCCCCCTGCCTAGAGGTCTAATCCAGAATTCTTCTATAAAAATGGGGCCCTTGGCAAGCATTTTATTATATAATTATTATACTCTGACATAAAAGTTATTCATTTTACAGAACAAGACTGGTGACAGCCTACATTCTAATCTTATCTTACCTGAGGAAAAGAACTAATTTTCAGTAAGCCTGAGGAAGAATGAGAATGGTTTTTAAAACTGGGGTCCTTAATTCCAAAAGGCAAAAGTGATGGTAACGGGGAATATAAGCTTCCAATGTCTGAAACAGTGACTGTCAATAAGACCTGATCTTGCTGTTTAGACTATTACAGTTAGCAGTATTTCCAACTGAAGACCATGACTTACTGGCAACTTGAGACATCAAAGAGCAGATGTCAGAGATACCACTGATCTAAAAACAATCATGAATGAAGCAGCTGCATCCTATAAGACAACTTCAAGGGGATTTCAATGAAGGAATACTTCTACGTCTGATTATATTAAGAACTGCAGCAAAAGGTCATTTCATAGAACTTAACAGAAATGTTCCATAATATTATCAGTTACAGACTTCTAAATTAACAATATAATTTAGAAATACTTGCTTTATTATGGATGGTCTAAAGAGACCTAATCCCATAAAAAGAATATATTATAATTTACTCAGAATGTTGTTTTGGTTGAGAGTTCATAAAGATTGTTTCATCAAAATAAGAAGTTATTCAAGTAGGAGAGATCTGATATAATCTGGTATAATATGCCTGATACCTCTAGATTCCTGTCAAGAAAAAAGAGGCAAATTTTTATTAAATTTAGCACATTATTGATAACCGAGTATGTACTTGTTAAAAGGGTGAAACCCACTGTGGAGTTGTTTTACGTTATTTCTTCTGAAAAATCTAGACCTGCCTAACAACTTGCGCTTTGTAACCTTTCTAAAACATTATTGGGTTCATTAAGTTTTGTTTTGTCTTTTTGGTATCACGATTCTGCTTCTTATTCATTTCTAAACTTTCTTCCTGACAAACTCAGGGAAAAGAAATCTATATGCTCCCATCTTCATCCGTTCACTTAAACACACACATACGTATCACAAAACTCACTTTTAAGCAGTTTTTCCTCAATACATAAAATCAAAGCAAAGGAAATTCTTGCCCTTTCTAATCCCTAAACAATGCCCACTGTCAAGGGCCTATATCCATAATAAACAAAGCTAAAAATATAAGACAACAGAAAATTATGGCAGTAGCCAAAGATAAATGAATAACTCTTACATCTCCTTTCAGTATCAAATCCTGAAAAAAGGGCATTTTAATTCTTTAAAATGAATGCTACAGCATCTGTTTCACTGTGTATGAATATTAATATAAGCTAGTATACAGTTCACCAGCATTCTACTAGATTTTTCACAGAAGTCTAAAATTAAATTAAAAAAATCTAAATTCCAGTTTGATCTGGGATTTAACTGATACTTTTACACAGTCTAAAAGAGATAGAAATATGTAACAATTTTTGTCTGTGGTGTCCCTACTCATGTTTAAATAAGGCTTACTTTGCTACTGAAAGATCACTGAGTGGCCACCTTTTTTACCCGCTTATTACAGGTAGAGACAACTAGCTATAGAGGTTAAGTGGCTTCTACAAATTAATGTTATGAGTCATCATAAGAGTTTAGATCTTCTGACATCAAGCTCTGTGCCTACTGTCTACCACAAATTATTATTTTAATTCTTAAAGTACACAATTAACACAGTAAAAAAAAAAATACTAACAAGAATTTATAGGCCTTTACTTTTTTTAATGAATTGTTACCTAAAAATAAAAAGACTTGCCTTTGAGAGGTGGGAAAGCTTCATTGTTAAGCAGCAGTTATATGTATTTGCATAGGAAAAATCATTTTTAAAAAATCTTAAAAGTTGAAGAGTTCATCACTTCTTACCACACACAGTAATTGGCTAGTTCTTCCAAAGGAGGTATAGCTTTGAGACACTGGATACTAAACTGTATTTCCCTCCACTTTTATCTCTAATATCAGTCTGGATAAGAAACTACACTTTTTTGCCTTGGTATTTCCCTTCTGTACAACATAAACAGAAAAATTTAATTCCTACCTGACATAGACAATGTAAGGAAGAATTTACTGTTTGTGGACTGCTTTGAGATTCCAGAATGAAATACATAATCCAGATGATCTTCAACCCTAGAATAAAGGCAAACTTCACTGAAAGTATCTGCTTCAGCAGACGCCTTCAAAATAAAATACTTTTCCATTATTCATATCAAGAGGTTTTACATAAATGAATGGAGGGGGCAACACTAGTTAGAAAGTTCTTCTGCCCAATTTAAAAATTTAATACTTCTGTTCTCACATATATTTCATTCAGTAGGCACACTAAATCTATTCTTAAATAAATAAAAATTACATGCACTTATTAAAGAGAGCAGAGACCCTCAAGAAAATGACGCAATCATTTGCAATTGTAATTATGTAAAACATCAAATTAATAACGAATTTCATAAAATAAAATGTATTAAATTTCATTTAAGGTTAGCTCTTGGACAACTGTATTTGCTGAAGGGCAAAAAAAATTCCAAATTTTAACCTTATGTTTGTAGATCAGCCTTTAATAAGTCTTAACCCTTTATACTTTCATCAAGTCTATACTCGACTTGCTTATTCTGATGTGTAAGGTAAATATAATTCCGAAAAAATTAAAGGTTCAATCAAGTAAATGTAAGAGGTTTATTGCTACTGTCATTCTTTTGACAACACTTCCCCGTCAGGGAATAAAAAAGATGAAGAGATTTTATCAAATTGGATGATGCACTAAGAAGACTGAGTATGGATACCTAGCTTAGGTAGCAGAAAGCAGATGAGACAGAACTCAGAGATTCAATAAAAAGTTAAGCGGCTTCAAGACGCTCCATCTACACACACACACACACACACACACACACATCTTCAAAACCCCCCAAAAAAACAGTTTTAGAGACGGAGAGGAGAAAGAGAGCCCAAGAGTACATACGGGAAATAGGATCACAATGGAAAAGGACGGGAGGCCGGGAGCCATCAGACGGAAAACGATGAAACGGTACCAAAAGACAGTTGGAGAGTTAGGGAGTGAGGGCCTGCGAAGGCGGGGGGGGGGGGGGGCACGGGACGGACTCCAGCGGGCAACGAGGTTAAAGCCAACACCGCCTCAGAAACTCACAAAAGAGAACCCAGCGCTGAAAGGGGGGCGGAAGGCAGCCAAGTCAGAAATTGTAGAGGGTCCGTGAGGGTAAGGAGAGTCGGGAAGAAGAGCCAAACCGGGGATGCACGGAGATGGAAGAAATTACGGGGAGCCAAGGGATACGCCGCCTCAACCGGGAGGCGAGCGGAGCCAAAGGGCACGTGGGAGGAGGGGATGAAGGCGCAGAACCGCGGAGGGGGGGGAGGCAGGACGGAGCGGCCAGGATGGAGCGCACCGCGAAGGGCAGGCGACGGCTGGGGACAGCAGGACGGAGGTCCAGGGGGCACCGGCCGGGGCACGCGCCGCACGGGCCAGAGCAGCGGGCAGCACCCGGCGAGCGGGGCGCCGTGGCTCGCCGCCACCCGGAGGGCGCTCTGCACGGCCGTCCCCACCGACCTTCAGCGGGCCCGGGGCCGGGCTCCGACCGAGAGCGGGCGAGCGGGGGCAGGAGAAGGAGGCCGCTTCCTGCCGGGCCCGTGGGAAAGAGGGAGGGGTCTCGGGTGTAGGGAGCCCAGGGAGACGGAGAAGACCCTGAGCGGCTTACCTTTCGCCCGGCTCGGCCTCCTCCACCGCCTGTCGGGCCGAGGAGCTCGCTGTCCTGCTGGAATAAGACGGCCCTACCCGGGTCAGCACCATCCCGCCCCGGGCCCCCTCACATCGCCATCGCAGCAACCGCAACCACCGCAGCGGAGGAGCCGGTTCGTCACCGCGGCTCGGCTACTGGCCCGAAACGGCCAGCGAGCATGCGCAGTCGCCCCAGTCCCAAGGGAACCCCGGCCAGCCGGCGCTACCTGCGATCAACAGGTCTCCGGCCCCGCGGCCCCGCCCCCGGCCTTCTCTCGCCTCCCCACTCCTCCCTGGCCCCGCCCCTCTCCAAGGCTAAGCCCCGCCCCTTCCAAACACCGCGCCCCACCCCTCCCCCTCGTTCCAAGCCTCTCCGCCGCCGCTCAGGCTCCAGCGCCTACTGAGATTTCGAGAGATTTGTCCGCTCTCTTCGCCTCACGCTCCCAAATTCTCGCGAGAACGGGAGTTTTGCGTCAATAAAGTGCGCTGGTCTCGCTGGAAGGGTCGCGCTAGGAGTTTAAAGAAACAAGCGAAGGGGCTGGCTGTGTTTTACGAAGAGGAGGGTACTGGAGGAGAGTAAAAGGGAGTTCTAAGACTTAAGCTCTGTTTCTCACGTCGTTCTTTATTCTTCTGTCTTGACCTCTTGGCTGCGGTCCTGGGTAAAGAGCCCAGTCCCGGCGCTGGTTACCTTGCGCGGTAGAAAAGGAAGCTGCGGGAGTTCCGCGCTGGCTCGAGGCTGCTGCTTTTAGGGACTCGGTGCATTTTTTGGAGAGATGTGGATGCTGCTATGGTTACTGCTAGGTTACTGACGCCTACAAAGGCGGGAGGGAGGCGATGAAGTGGTCTTTAGCTTTGAAACTCCATTAAAAGAAGCCTATGATTTGGATAGGCCGGGAAGGATAATCCTTCAGTGATTTACTTCACCCCAGCTCCTGAGTCTTAACCCAGCAGAACCTTTTGTGGTGCATGAAATTCAGTACGTTACAAAAGCAAAGTTAATGGGGAAAAGGAAATATGGCTGTGGTGTGTGTTAAAAGTGAAGTGGGATGAATAGCGTTGATAATTGTACAACTTTGTGCTTAATGATACCGAACTGTATTTCTAAAAATGGTTAAAATGGTAAATTTTGTGTATATGTATATACACAAGATATATGTGTGTGTGTGTGTGTGTGTGTATATATATATATACACAATAAGAATGAATTAAAAAGAAAAGGGTTTGTATACTAATTTGGGAATATAGCCCTTCCTTGACTTAATGACAGTTATAACTTTATAAACCCACCATAAATTGAAAATATTATTGTCAAAAATGCATGGAATACATCTAACCTATAGAGCATCATAGTCTAGCCTAGCCTGGCCTCCCTTAAATGTGTTCAGAATACTTAACATTAGCCTGCAGTTGGGCAAAATCCTCTAGCACAAAGCCGATTTTATAATTAAGTGTTGAGTATCGCATGTAATTTCTTGAATACTATACGGAAATTGAGAACCACTGGACCTAAATGTATTGGTTGTTTACTCACGGGATTGCACGGTTGACTGGGAGCTGTGGTTCGCTCCCTCGGCCCAGTAAGTACCATGACAGAAGGTCATACTGCATTTTGCTAACCTGAAAAAAAGACCGAAATTCAAAATTTGAAGTTTGGCTTCTACTGAACGCTTATCACTGTCTCACCACGGGTAAAGTCAGAAGTCTTAAGTCCAATTATCCTAGGTAAGGGACCATCTGTAATGATGGTGCCTTGAAGCCTAGGTCATGTGAGGGACAGGTTTGAATATAATACAACGTCTGGTTTTTCTTCATATTAGAATGTATCTTTAACATGATTGTGACTGCCCTGTTATCTTCTGATAACCCCGTATTAGCATTCGTGTGAATGGTCTGCTTTCCTGGTCCCCAATCTCTGCCTTTTTAAAAATAGTCAAATACCATTGTAGTATCTTTCTTGTAAGGACCTTTATTGTTTTCTGATTTGAATTTATAGCTTCAACACTGAAAGGCTTTTTTAAATTCTTTTAGTTCTGTCTCTTAGAAAAATATATGAAATATTCCATTATTTGCATTTCCACATCTATGTCTTTCCTAAAATACACCCTGTGCCAAGATTTCTTTGTTAGGTGTTTTTTTTTGTTGTTGTTGTTGTTGTTGTTTTACTTAAATCACATTTTGAAATCATCTATGTGCCAGACAGTGTACTAATTTTGGAGGATACCAACGTGAATAAAACAACTTGAGTGGAGTGTTTGCATAACTCCTTTATGATGTAATGTGTGTAGTGCAGCAGAGATAGGTGCACAGGGAACTACTGGAGCTCAGAGAAGGAGCATTAATTCAACTTAGGCTGGGAGAGGTCATGAGTCAGGAAACACTTCCAAGAGAAAATTATTCCAGAGAGTTAATAAAGTGGGAGATGTGTGTGTGTGTACGGCGGGGGGAGGGGGGGATAAAAAGGGAAAAGGATTGCTTGAACAGAACTATATAATAAGAAACTATCTTTGCACAGAACTAAAAGAGTAATTTGAGGATGTGAGGTTAGGAAGGTAGGCAAAAGTCAGATGGTGGTGAGCCTTTGAAGGATTTCAAGGAAGGATCAATTCAACCAGTATTTTTGATTATCTATTCAGAATGTGTTACGTACTATACTAGTAACTGGGGTACAATGAGGATTAAGAGTCATTCCCAATGCTCAGGGAGTTTACAGATTGGTAGGGGGAGACAGGCAGCTCAAATACCAATAAATTCTACTAAAGAGTTAAAATTGAGGTAGGCACCTGTTTGGGAGCCCAGAAGAAGAGCATTTAACTAACCTGGAGACTTAGACAAGACTTCCTGGAAATTATTCATCATAGAAGAATATAAAATAAGCTCTTAAAATTAGAAAAATTATAGTGTCCCCTGACATACAGACCATTAGAGAATGCATTGATCTAATTGTCAGATTACCTGGGTTCAAGTTCTAGATTCTGCAGAATACTGTGTAATCTTGAGAGTCTTAGCTTCTCTAGGTCTTGGTTTTCTTCCATAAAAAGAGATTTCAGTGTCTAAGGTCCTTAGAAACTTTGTGATTCTAAATTTACTTCCCATTTATCTCCCCAGGTTTTGAATCAGACATCGTGCTAATTTACTTTTTTGTGTCACATTTAATGTACTTTAAGCTAAGTTTTATGTTACATGTGTCATTTTCGATCCAAGTCATGAATACTCAAAGAATTCAAGGTTTGGAACACTTTCTGTCCTATAGTGAGTTTACATAATTTAACTTTGGCACAGAATGTTTCTGAATCTTTACTAAACCCTTCTAAGTGGAGTATTCTCTTAAACTGAAGATCAGATTATCTCTCCCCTACAAAGTTGCACAATATTGGCTCAACTAAAGATTGAGACATGAGAAGAAATGAATATTGTAAATTTGGAAAGAGCCTCAGGGAAATATGCATATATTTGCCTGTTGCTACCCATTAATTCACTAAGCAAACAATGAATTTGCTTAAAATTTTCCTTCCTGGGATTTATGATCTTTAAAATATTTTTATTTCTTTCTATAGGTTGCTATCAACTTTGAAATTAATATTAATGAAATAATAACTCCCCTTCTGGGCAGTCACTCCTCTCTGTGTATAGATTTAATCATTTGCAGCTTGAGTGCCCATGGTACTCAAGGGTAAGTTTTTAAAAAGTTATATAATTTTAACAACAAATATGAGATGAGGCAAAACAAAGTTTCATTACAGAACTTCCTTCGTGGGTTATTAACAGCTACAAACCAGAAAGGCAAATGTATTACTTCATACCTTAATGTTGTAACATTATTTCATGACTTAATAGCCATGGTCTTTCTGGAGGAACCACCATATAAAACTCAATTACCAATTTTTTCTTCCTGTAATGTAATAGAAAACCATCAAAAAAAATTTTTTTTTTCTTCTTCTTCTTCTTCTTCTTTTTTTTAAACTTATAACATTGGTTGTTTCTGAGAGGGAAACTCAGAGCCTGGAGCGTTTGGTGAAGGGAGGAAAGAGGACTTTTTATTGTGTATTCTTCTGAGTTTGAACCTAGTGAATGTATTCAAGGAAAAAAATAGTTGAGTCTGTGTAAAATAAATGCTGTTTTTAAAATGCTTATACAATAGTTTTTTAATAATTATATTACAGAAAAAGTCCCTGATAGCTATAAAACTAATAGAAAAAAGGTTTTGTTATACAATGTGAAAGGAGCAGTCAAGCAGTCGCTTTTGAGTTGCAACTCAGATCATCTGGATTTCCCAGAGTGTCTGCTTGGATCATTCAGAGAGAATCTGTCAGACAGTAGACATTCCTCCCACCACCATCCCAGTGAATCATTCATGTAAAGTATAATTATCTAGTATCAAATAAAAGTAATGAAATGATTTCTGCATTATTCTCTTCCTTATATGCTTGAAGCTTAACTTTTAAATAGCATTTATACTAGTTACCAGTTGATCTGTGATAGCAAACATTAGGGCAAAAATCTCATTCTTCCAATGACTCATGCATTCTTATCTTGCATTCTGATCTTTAAGCCAGCTCCACTCAGATAGCTTCTGCTTCATATCAGACCTCATCATATACTGCTGACTCCTCTTACTCAACATACCTCAACTAGACTCATCCTGCTCCCCTCTCCCCAAATCACACACAGCTCCATTGCTCTCCCAACCTTCTAGTTTCTAATTATTCTCCCTCCACATTTACCTAGGTGGAGAACCTCACAGCCATATTACTAACTTCATGAATTGAGCACATAGTCAAAAATTCAAAATCTTTCTAATATCTATTATCTTAATTTTTGCATAACTTTCTTCTCTAGCTTCCTGATCTGTAAGATGAGTATCATAGTAAAAAGCTGCTTCATGAGGATGTTGTAAAATTGATTATTAAAAAAGATCTTTTACCCAAAAACACGTACCCATTTCTGATTGTTCCTGTCACTGGCAGGAGTAATGAGAAGTAATGATAGATTAATAGATCAATTGAATTTAGAACAAGAAGCATTCATAATCAGTACTTAAGTCCCTCTTTAACAAACAAGACGTACAACTCTAATCTTGTGTCAATTTGCAGACCTCCACGGAGAATGCAAAATAAACTTCATATATTTTTAAATCTCTTCAGCAGAAAAACTTTTCTTTCCACTTCTTAGATTTTGCATTGGAAATATTGGTGGGAATGCAGCATAAAGGG